AATGGATAAGTATTATAGAAACAACTGGATAATTAGCTATGGAAATGTTATACATTGTAGAATTGACTTCCAATAAATGGAAGGTAAAGCCACAAATTAGGGCTCTTCGAAGGTGTTTAGAGATAATCAGAGAAATTAAGTCTTTTGTGAGAGATGAGACTCAATGGTGGGATTCCTGAGCTTGGGAAAGATGTTGAAAGATACACAATAGGAATCTTTAAAATGGTGTTTACTGTAGCACAAGAACTGAAAGTAACAAGTATAAAACCAGTAAAGGAATATTTTTCACGTTATGCAAAATTTTAAGCATTATTGTTCATTGCTACAGTATACTGTCAAGATAAAAGTACACTTTTAAGAAGAGATTGCTGAAATTCAAGTATCATACCTCATTGGTACCTACCGAGCACAGTATTTTGCCTCTGAAATTTTTAATAATTTTTGGAGACAGGAAGAATGCTGTAGGGGAGGAGGCACTTGAAAAGGCATTCCTCTCTAACTGTCTGCTCTTGTCAAATATTGGAAGCAGTAGCCTGGGCAAGGTAGCTTCTGGTCTGCTTAAATAAAGAGTTACTTTTCAAGTCCTCTCTTGTATTCTACCAAAATGATGGCTTGTTGATGACAGCTTCATTTCTGGTCTTAAAAGAAATAACAAATCCACACCATCATGTGCTTTGCTATCTGCAATATGTGAATTAACAACAGTGGACCTTTTGGTTTTCTTTCTGTAATGTATTGTGTTACTGCTGGAAAGCGGGTTTGAAAAGTGAAAATATGTAAGTCAAAACCAAATGTTAATGTTTTTCAAGTTGGAAGTTGCACCAGTTATTTTCAGGATTATCTATTAAGCACTTGAACGTGACCATGGCTGATGACTGTGTATGCAGCATCAGAAAAGCATGTAAATTAGTATAGCATTTTTTTCTAAAAGCTTTCCTTGTTGTCATAAAAATGCTTTCTAAGCTATCAGCTTTCTTCTGCTTGGTAGGATGTTATTTGTTGGAAGTGTACATTGACCTGGAACCAGCAAGGAGATGACTAAGTAAGAGGAAAATGGTTATAACATGCCTCTGCTCTGCCAAGGAATATGGAAACAATAACAGATTTGTTAAGTCTGTGGGTCAGCTAGCCTTGTAGTGATATATGATAGTTCTCTATGCATGACATACTGTTAACCACCCCTTAGGAGATGAAATGTGAATCCTTGTCTGTTTGTCCCAGTTGCTGATTAGCACCTTGAAGAGTATGCAGCTTACTGATGTAGCCAGAGTAAACGTGAGATCCTCATTTCTCTTGCTAATGGAGGCATGTAATGTCATCTGTCTTGTTTGGAAGAAGGTCAACAGCTTGAAAAATGAATATTCCATTTAATAAGAGATTGGAAGCTTTAGTTTCTGCTTTCTTCTTTTATGAGAGTGAAACTGTGCCCTTCAAGCCCTTCAAGAAGAAGCAAATGTAATAAGCATATAATTGGAATCACAGGAACGCCCTTTCCTTAGTGAAGAGATAGTAGTTCGGTGGTTAGTGTACTCTTGAGATGTGCTGGTGGCCAGTGTCAAGTTCTGGCAGATGCAGGAGCAAGCCTGAAACTCTCAGACTCTCTTTCCCCACCCCTCTCTTCCCCCTTTCTGGCACTTGCAACAAAATATTTATGAAGTCAGTCTTTCAACAGATATGATCTCATATCCTCCTGCAAATTGCATGTAGACCCAGGACTCAGGATGGCCCTGTTTACTGAGGAGTTCAAAGGGTGGGACAAGGCTTTAAGAAGCAAGTAGTGATTTTGAAGAGGAAGTATGTTAAATGATAGCCATCACTCTGAATGATTGGGTATCCCCTTTCTCTAAAAATGAAACTTTCTCAATACTGAATTGCTAGAGGCTTTTTGATGATTTCCTCAACTGTCCATTAGTATGAGAACACAGGATGCCAGCAGTACTCATTTTGATCTCTTGTTCTTTTTGTGTGGCTTACTTTTTGGTTTTGGTCTTTTCCTCTGGGCCTGAAGTTTGTCATGGGATGACAAGAAGCACCCTCATGTCTCTGGAGTGTGAGCACTTGTGGCGTAGGAGTTGTGTTAAACCACCTGGGCTTATTGCCTGCAGCTGCTCAGAGATGGGAGGCAGGAGGGCTGGAGTTCTTGGCATGGTGTGCCCTCAATGTCTGGCATATCTCGTCCCTGACTTACAGTCCTCCCTTGGGAAAATCTCTCTGGAGTTGGTGTGTTCAAAGCCTCTCTACCATAAAGGCTCAAGAGGACATTCTGTAGCCACACACTTTCTTGTACCAAGGCTACTGATTTGCTAAAAAGTAAAATGCATTAATAAAATGTTAATTTGCTATCTGCAATATGTTAAAAAATTAACATATTAATAAAATGTTAATATTTACAATATGTATCCTATAGCAAGATAATCCCTGTATACGAAGAACAGGGGATCAGTTTGTTGATGAAAGGAATTTGTCATGGTCAGGTAAAAGGCTGCATGTGTTTTTTCCTGCTATTGCGTCATTTAATTTTTCCTCCCTTACAGATGGCAATTCTAAGAAAAAATTTCCCCTAACATTGTCACCTTGAGTCTTCTGAGCCTGAGCTAGTTCCTTTGACTTCTTTTTCCTGCATCACCCAAACCACCACATCCTCTGCCTTCCAAGAGCGTCTGCTCTTTGGTCCTACTCTTGCAAACATTCGTACTGGATTGTATTTCATCCCCTAACTTCCTGCAAGGAAATTCCATTTTCTGTCTCCCTTCTTTCACCTGAGCCCATGTTTTTCTGGGTAGTGAATCACACACTCTTTATAGTCTAGCTTTGCATAATATAATTTACGTAATGTAATTCTGAGTGACATACTTATTTATAGCTCTTCTTACAGTTATTGACCTATTTAGTTTCCGAATTCTTATAGGTGGCCTAAATTAGCCTTAATACACCTTGGTCTGAATTAAAAGTCTCCTAAATAGTTTCTGATTTCTTTCTCCTTTTGGAGAAATTTGGTGAGAGATTCGTAATAAAAGAAAATTAGTGGGTTTGTTGTATGATGTGTTTGATCAGGGCAGGTGTATGGTGAACTTCTACTGCTTGTGTGAACATCCAGGATATTAAAAGTTGACCATGTTACTTACATTTATTCTGACAAGTAGCAGTACCAAGTCCATCTGCAAATAGTTCATTTATTAAACTGAGGAAGCCCTGGAACATGTAAGATATATACGTATATATATATCTCTTATCTATATATAAAAATATAAATACATATACTTATAATTAAATATTAATTAATTAATGATGACTCCTCCTGTAATGTGAAGATAATCGCACTATTGCCAGCATAGGGTTGGGACACCACCTAGGAAATTGTCTAGTTTCTCCCCTGGCCTCTTGGCTCGGGTGAGGCACCGGGGTGGCAACAAGTCAGCAAAGCAGTCTTTTTTTCTTTCCTTATGAGGAAAGAAAGGTTTTATTTTGCATAAAACCCTGAGAGCAGCTTGAGAGAATAGTGCTGAGCTGATTCAAAGCAACCTCGCTTTGCAGGTAACATTGTCCTAGTTTTGTTGTAATTGCTATTTGTGAATCTTTTTGTAGAGATGTAACCTTCTCGAATTAAGATAATTCTGAATCTAAGTCTTGGTTTCAGTCTTGTTCATGAGTCTCTTGGCAAGCAAGATCCCAGTTTGTTTGCAGCTTCCAATAGGCATGTAGGCCATCCAAAATAGCTTCCATTTCCCAGGGAAGTGCATTCTTAGAAGTACTTTTCCAATCCAAATGCCTCACATTTATTACTTTTTTTAATTGCTTAGTGCAATGCTGACTTGCTCTTTAATGACTTTTCCTGTCAGTAAACTGAGATCCCCAAAAGGCACATGCATGCAGTAACAATGTTCAGTTTTTAAAGCTGGATGGGTGTTTTGGAAAAAGAAAATCGTATGTATGTGCTGTTTGTCACAGCTGGTATCCCAACAAGAAAAAGGTCTTCTAATGCAGGTCTTCAAGAAAGGGTCTTCTAAGGAAAGCAGAATGAAAATAAATAAATGAAAATAGCATAAAAGGATAGCCTTAGCATTTAGCATCGCTTTTTTCCAGATACTTTAGGGAAAATTGACAGAATGACACACACGCAATTTAGCTCAGTAAAGGCTCTCAAGTTGCACTATGCAAGCGACAGAGAAGGATCAGAAGAAATTTCTCTGGACAATTTTGCCATTTGCTCCTTCAGATGTTGCAGTGTCACAATTTTAAGTCTTAGACCTTTGTGTTTTTGTAAAGCCTGAAGTCATGTGAGTAGGTAAGATTCTTAATTTAAAGAAATGTACATTCTTAGTCTTTGGGATTAAACAGAAAACCTTAAAATATGAAAGTGTTCTGAAGTCTCAAAAAATGCAAGGCCGGCAAAGCATGGACACTTCACCCTAACTTTTTCTTTAGCATATCATTTCTTATTCAACTTTCTTTTAGGGCACCAGTGTGGTTTTAATGGTTTTTTAACTATGGATGTGACCAAGTGAGTCTAGTAAAAATAGTGCAATTTCCATGCCTTTGGGAAATGGAGAACTTGGCACCTTTCTCTTCTGATGAGTATTTAAATGAGGAGGGCGTTAATTTTTAAGAGTTTAAAATAGTTTGTGAAGAGAAGAAACAGAACATGAACAGGAACATGCATTATGCACCATATCACTGAAAACCAGTCTCTTGTACATTATGGCACTGCCTTTAGGGTCTGTGTTTAAGTTCTGTAAAAGAGGGCCAAGCTGTATGGCGAAGTGTTGTTGGCACTGTTTCTGTGAGTCCAAAATATCCATAAGTCTGCAATACCTGCTCTTCCCTGCGCTCTCCTATTATACCACTTAAGTCCATTCAGTAGTCCTCGATCTTGAATTAATTTTTAGTGACCTCTTTGAAAGCTTTCCTTCTGGATTTGATCCGCTGCCTCTCAGCTTGCGATTGGGTTGCTTAGCTGTATAAGCAGTCAGGTTTACACCTTTCCTTCTTGTGCCTTACAGGACTCCTCAGCGGGCAGACCTCTCCGACCAACGCCAAGCTGGAGAAGCTGGACCCCCAACAGGTGCTGCAGCTCTGTCTCCGGTACCAAGACCATCTTCACCAGTGTGCGGAAGCAGTGGCCTTTATCCAGAATGCGTTAGTGAAGCGAATCAAGGAGGTACTGCCCATGGAGAGGGTGATTCCTAGGGACCCCCACGTGTCTGTCTTGGATCTATGAATGCCAGTGCTTGATGTAGGTGGCCTTGGGTCGCCAGTAGCACTCTACTTGAAAATAAACCCCGTAGAGAATCTGTATGTGTGCATTTCAAGCAGAGATACTTCCTGGCTTCAGTGTGGTTGCTCTTGCATGGTATATTTATTGGTTATGATCTCTGGATCCTGACTCTAAACATGGCGTGTTCCTCTAGTACCTCAGTACCTCTTCAGTACCATAAGTAACTGTTAAAGAAGGAAAAGATGTCTTGAGTTTTTTTAATGTTCTTTGTTTACATCTATATGCTTAACATTTCATTCTGCATCATTAGAGCATCAGCTTAATTCAAAGAAAGAAATAGTTTATAGCTAGCAAAAGTAGTGTTTCTTGCTTTAATGTATTTGTGGAGCTTTGACCTTGTTTCTAAGCTCATAGCAAGCTGCTCTTCTCTGACCATGCGACTTTTGCTTTCCATCTCCTCTAGAAGGCCTAAAGGATTCAAATTTAGCCCATATCAGGACACAGCGTATCACATTATAGACCTGAATGTCTGTAGTAACAATTGGAAGCAAACAACAAGCAAATCCTTATTCCATATGCCTTATGGGAGAAGCAGAGAAGAGAAGGTGTCGTCATCAGAAACAAGAACCACAAGTAGGGTTGAAAATGCCAGCTGGGAAAAAGGATCTGGGACTGACTGTAGTTGAAGAGATGGTTGGATGGTTCCCCACAAAGTGAGGAAGATAGCAACTGAGGAGGAGGAGGAATTGAATTTGTCTCCTCTTATAATCAAATATAAAGTTATAATCAAATACAAAGATCTGTTGTTTAGTAGTCATTCCAACTACACAGTTGGATATTCAAGCTCTTTGTTGAATATATATACAATTAGGGTGTGAATTTGGGTTATTTGAGTTGTGCCCTTCTGAACACTTTAGACAAGAGTTGTGGTTTATCACTCTGAAAGACAGGCTTATTCTGCCAGAGGCATATTACAGGGTTGTTTCTTCCCATTCTGTGGCTATATTGTAGTCCTGATTTATTTTTAGAGATCTGCCTGTGCTACTATGGAGTACATTGACTTTACTGATCAGACACAGAGAACTTAAGACAAATCCTATGAGAGAAAGATTTCCATAATTTCTTCACTGTTTTTTTTTTTTTTGCCTTGTGCTGCTGCCTAGCTAGTAGATTTTCAGTGAGAGAATACCTTTGTCTACTGGACACGTTTTTATGTGGACTGGAGGGACTATGTTTTTACCACAACGCCATCATTTGAAAATCACTGGTCTGCATAAATAGTCAGTCATGCTCATGGGGAGGAAGTAAATTCCTTGGATGGTCAGCCTGCTACTTTCTTGTGTGCATAACTAGTGATCTTGTAAGCAACAGAATGGCTAACAGTTTGTTAAAGTCAGGATAGACTGGTGCCAGTGGAGATATTTCAGAGTGGTTTCTTAGGTGTTCACAGGTGCCTTGAAGAACCAGTGAATGCTGCATTTGGCAATAGTCTAAGAGTAAATACCTTTAAAAGTCAAAAGAAAAAAATTTGAACAGGTGGTTAATTTTTACTCACGCTCTATAAAGAGCGACCTTGATTTGTTGTTGTTTTATTGGCTTAGAGTTAAGAAATCCCACCTGACAAACCGGACAATAAATTTGATTCATGGGCTGTTTTGCGAAACTGCTGTCACCATAAAGTGGTAACTCCAAAGTAACATGGGAGCCATTAAAAGACCCCTTTTTCCTTTGGTGTATGAAGCTCCGAGGCCAGCTATTGCACAAGATGTAAAGACGTTTGCAGATGTTGGTGACTCAGATCACACAATCTCAGAAATGGGATTTAATTGCCAACCTAATGACAGTGTACGGCATTAATCCAAGCAGATTGTAATTCTTTTGGCTCGTAAAGTGTGAGAGTGAATATCAGCATGATTTAAAGTCATAGTGGAGTCTACCATTGGTTTTCTATAAAAGTGCAGCCCTAATTAGTTGGATTTGCTTCCTATTGGACTCGTGGCAGATTGCCATTCCAATCAGTGATGGTCTTTCCAAACAGTTCATAAAGCTAACATTTTTTCATGAAAAGAAAATACATAGTAGTATCGCGTTGATGTTGTCACTGACATCTTGATCACTGTCTCTTCCATAACAAAGTGAAGGAAAAATGGTCTGTAACTTGGGCAACTGGTCAAGTACACCCCTATTTTTTTGTCACAGCACTTAAGTAACTTCAGATGCTTTGAATCCTGCTGCCAGATCTAGTGGTTTTTTACTATTCATTTTCATAATAATTTTTAAATGTTTTTCTTGCAGTGGTTGTTCTGCGTGTGTGTTCTGGAGTAGCTGGGTGGGACCCGCTCGGCTCAAATCATTCTTTCCGAATTGTTTGGGCTCTCTTTAGTGCATTAAATTGAAACGCTGTTGACAGTTGTTGACAACAAAGGGTGTAGCTGAACTGGAGCAAAGTAGGTCTCTAGCTGCAAGCGTGGACAAAGAAAATCGTATTTGACTGCGCCCATTTGTCAGCAATGATTTAGTTTTGCAGGGTAGACAAAACTTTGACTGTTGGTGAGGAGTAAAGGATGAAAAGAATATGAAAAAGAATGTGAGAGTATTACAAAAAGCATACTGTGTGCATGAACTAGAATGAGTAAATTACTGTGTTTTCATCCTCACTTTAATTACTAGTGTTTCTTTTCTCTCTCTTTTTTTTTTTTTTTAACCTTGGATATACTGGAGTATTTTTTTTCTTCTTCTAAAAACTGTTAACAAGGGAATAGTGCTTTTAACTTTCCTACCAAACGTTGGTCCTTCATTTCTGCTATTTATTTAAGGGCTGTTCACTATCACAGAATTTCACTATCTTCACTCCTATTGTATGGTATGCTGTGGTGCCATTGACTGCAGCTAGGTTTTTTTTTTTTTTTTTTTCCATGACCTAATGATCCAGGGCAAGTATCTTGTGCTTGTTGTACATGAATCCAGGAAAAAAAATTCTCATTTTTGGCAAAATTCACAGTCCTGCTGCAAATTTATTGGTTCTTGGTAACTAATTACTGATTGGAGTAGTTTGTAAATCAGTTCACAACCTAAATTTAACACGGTTCTAAACTAAAAAGAGAATAATCTAAGGAGAGCAAGACCTTGCATGTCAGCGGTTGCTAGAGCTGCGCTAAGTAGTCCCATCTGTGCATTTCCATACTTTGGGGACGACAGCAGTCTGGCTTGGCTCTCTATCCTGTTTCCAAGGGTAGCCAGAAGTGCCTTGCAGTGGCCAGAGCCACAGAGTATGCTAAACCAAGCGCCTTGGTGCTTTCCAGCTTCCTTAGGCTGCTCTCTGTCTCCAAGAACTGTCTTTCGCCAAGCGTTTCCTTGGAGGGGAAAGCATTGAAGGTGTGATGGAAGGTTGTTGGCCCAGCTGTTTATCTTCGGCAGCTACACTTACTTGTACCTGAACTGTCCAGTTTTGGAAGAGATTGATTTTACCATGATAGTCTTTGCTTTAACTGCCATAAAAAGGGAAGTGCTTGAATCTTTTCAGGGAAACATAACTAATATGCATTAAATATTATGTTTTGTATTATTTTTTGGCAGCTGACTCCCCATATTTTGCAATACAGCATTAATTCCAGCACCAATTAAATATTTTTTTTTCCTTTCCTTATCTGTTTGAAAAACAACCAAACAGCAATTTGAGATATCTGTGTGTGCTAATTCATGCTTATGGCATCTGACTACATTTGACAATTTACAAGGAAAAAGATTATGTCTTGCCTTTTCTGGGTATGTCCGCCCTTTGATATTTTGTAGGGTAAAAAATTCTTAGTTTGGATTAATCATCCTACTGTTGATATATGTGAACACGCTGTTCAGATGGATCTGGAATCAGTACCTGGTTTATCTAGGAGTGAGATTGTTAATATGTGTACACTAAGAAAAATGTCTATTAAGAAAATAGCTAATGCATTACACAATGCTAAGATTAAAAAAAAAGCAGTAATAGCTAGTTAACAGGTTAAACTTACCTACGTTTTGGGGCTTCTACTGCACAGTGTTTAATGATGGTGGCAGAGTTGCCGCACGCTATAGAGGATGTGATAACTTAAGGCTAAAAAT